AATGCATATAAACATTTTGGATAGATATATTTATATTGAAAATATATTTTAAAAAAGTATATATGACACAATGGAAGAAAATAAAACTCTTTTAAAAAATATTTATGCAAATGTATTTATTTTAGCAATATATTTCTAAACATTTTTGGCTTATTATGAAATATCTTTAAAAACACATCTGTACTTTTTTAAAAAAATATATACTTTTTTATATGCAGTCTGGGATGTTCTGTCTAAACATTAGTCATTTCACAACTCACAGCTCACTTCCTCTAACCTCAAAACAGCTCACACCAGTTGAAATAAACATCCTTTTCTGGTAGAACAAACCCTTCAGGGAAGACCATCCTGAAATATTTCTGAAGTGCTGAAATGTATACATCACACTTTACATGGTCACTTCATTTCATACACTGATGAAACAGAGGATGTGCAGTTATAGTATATAGTGTAGTTACAGTATAGTAATGTGTCTTCTAAAACAAATAATGGACGTCATAACTATGCCTTTCCTGTTAATATGACACAAACATCATTATCTTTGTTTATTATGAAGATCAAAGCACAGATCTTAACCACTTACCCCAAACGATTCTAAAGAAGAACACTAAGATCTAGCTTTAACATATCTCTCTTCTCTAGAATCTTAGTGTTTTGTGCTGACAAGACTATGTTGACCACAAGACAAAAGCTATTCTCTCTTATGGAAAGTTTGAGTGCAAATTCTCTAAACCAAACACATGGCTCATTTCTTCTCTTTATCAGTTTGTAAGGCTGAATGAACCACAAAATATGTACTGTAACCTAAGCCCATTGAACTAAAGAGGCTTCTTGGCTCTCACATAAAAACAGTCTGATTGATTTCAGATGGACTTTACTCTATTAGTAAAGAGTGCAAGAGTGCAAGAAAGGCACAACTTATTTGATTACCTCTCTAAAAAAAAGCATCACACAGAAGAATGGGAAATAAACACTCAATAGGAAAAGCATTTGTTACTGTAAATCTTTAATGTCATGATGAGATATTGTGAGATCTCATCAGTGTGATCTTTGGATCTGGAGTATTATTCACACTCCTCACTTTTGGCTGATGGTACTGTTTGTGGGATTCACACCTGTCAGCATGAGAGTAAGTTTCCAGTGTTTAACATCCAGTCTGCTTATGCTTAGCATTCAGACTGTATTGTCTGTTAAGAAAACACCATTATGAGGACATACCAAAAGGTCACGGTTTGGATGTTTAGCATTGTCCAGTTAGCTCCTGATAGTATGCAATAATTAGACCATTTTCTTTTCTTTTTTTAAAGTGATTTTCAAAAGTTATGAAATCTTCAAAAGCTGAATGTAACATTTTTGGTAAGCCAAACATGTCAGTCCCCAAACAACATATAGTTTATTTAAGCCACAATATAAACTTCATTCCATACAATAAGTATAATGAACTATGAAAAAAAAGCATTTTGAACGTCTCGATCACATTTATAATACCCAAAAATCAAACATTTCACACCTCATGCATGTTATCACGTCTGTCAAAAAAGGCTGGCTGTCGGTTGGAATATTAGAACTAATTTTAATTTCCATATATTACTAAAATTACATTTTTATAAAATGACAAATTATATTTTACATTTCAATTTAAAATATAATTTTTTTTTTTTTTTTTTACATACAAACATTATTATACACTCTAAAAATGCTGGGTCAAAACAACCCAATTGCTGGGTTTGTCCCTATTTTACCCAGCACTAGGTTGTATTTAACCCAGCATTTTTTAGAGTGTACTAAATGTTGTACCAGTGGCTCAAAAAGTTCTACAAGCTCATGAGAAAAATTGACAATTTATAATCACAAAAGCATCTTATACTATCAGATCTACTACCAGATACAACTGATGGAAATTTAAAGTAATTTTCCTTGTAATCTAAAGCACAACTGAATGAAGAATAGAATTTCATTCTTTCATTGTTTAAAAGAAAAGGTACTGTCGCTTTGGTTCCTGATGAAACAAAACAACCCAAAGACATTACAACCTGACACCCTTGATATCATGCTTTCTCACGATTGTGTTGCAAGAACCACTGTCAGAGAGTAATCTAAAGCACAACTGAATGAAGAATAGAATTTCATTCTTTCATTGTTTAAAAGAAAAGGTACTGTCGCTTTGGTTCCTGATGAAACAAAACAACCCAAAGACATTATCAAAAGACCAAAGACCTTGATATCATGCTTTCTCACGATTGTGTTGCAAGAACCACTGTCAGAGCTCACTGTGTAGGGTGTGAAGTGACATGTACCATTATTTACCATGTCTCAAGAGTGTCACATCATACCTCATACAAGCTTATTCAGGCACCTGAGGCGTGTTAGTGCAGGTGAACGTTACAGAGATGACATTAAACCTGATGTAACATGTTTAGTCATGGATTTGGACTACAGTGACTCTTCAGGCTGATGAGACTAATAAACGCTGTCAGTGCTGTGCTATGCTTTCAAAGGATTTAGTAGATGACGACAGTGTCTCAATTACGTCTGATCTATGAGAAACACCCCAGATAGAAAGAAAGTCTGTTTATTTGAGAGCATGAGTGTGCATTGACATCTCTCTTGTGTTCCAGACAGTAAAAGATTCACAGCTGAGACATGTAGGTTGCTATACAAACATCCTTTGAAATGACCGTCATTTCACAAAGAAAGCATTTTTGTGTGTTTCCCTTTGCTCAAGAGGAAATGCAACTTAGTTTTATAATGAAGTTTGGTTAAGTAAAGCAAGCAACACACCACTGATGCCGGAGATTGTTTTGGCCCGTCTCTATATCTGTAAAGAAATTCACAGACATTTACAGTAAAAGCTCAGGGGTGATGCATTTTATGTGGGATGGGTGTTTGGAAGAATGCAATGAGGATTTGCCCATGAAGAGCATTGACTGGGTTGTTGGGTTGTGGACCTGCTGTTTTTCTGCACAATCTGCTAATGGTCTGTACTGCCAAGCAATGTATTCCCAAAAGGCCTGAAGGGAAAATAGAGCAGGATGTCTTGATCAGAAGTAAAAAGCCATTTTTCACATGTAAAGGTTTGCACTGCTTTATATTTTAAACATATTGTCAAAGCTTAAAATCACTGTATAATATAATAAAGAATCACTCCATTAATTAATATGAATACTGCAAAAGAATTTGTTGGTCATACCAGAAGGTTAATTACCATTGGGTTTCCTCAGACTTTAACCTGTACCTGGATGTGAGTTTAAAGGAATAGTTCACCTGAAAATGAAAATTTGCTGTAAAATATACTCTCAGGCACCCATTCACAGCAGAGGATCCATCGGTGAACAAGTAATGTAATGCTAAATTTCTCCAAATCTGTTCCAATGAAGAAACAAACTCATCTACATTTAGGATGGCCTGAGCGTGAATAAATGTTCATCAAGGGTGAACCTTTAAGTTATTGGAACAGCGGCGTAGTCCTTTTGTACTGTAGCAATTTGTTAGCAGCTTACATTTTTTCAAAATTCATGCTTGAGGTATGACTGTGCGTGATTTATTTTGTAGAACAAAACACGAAAGTCTCTTTAAGATTGCCACATGGTTTATTTTACAATCAATGGCCTGAAAATGCTCTTCTGGGTTTAAGAAACACAAAACCGGACCGGCATCTGCAATTTGCATTCTTTGTTTCTACAGCTGTTCTCCTCAGACAATATCTCAGTCTGTGCATTGTGCAATATGACATATAATATATTTTTACTTTTTAAATCTCCTTAGTCTGCTCAGTCTTTACATAAACAGATCAGTGAGGCCTGGATATTTTCTTCTTATCTACTATAGCCCATGTCTTCATTTTGAGCAGTGTTTTTTAGTTCCCTTGCAAATACCATTGTATTATAACTTTAATATACCTTCTACAACAGATAGCAACAGATAAAAGACCTACATTGTGTCCAGGCAAAACTGCAGATTATGCATAATCAGTCTTTCAATTCACGGAAGGAAACCAAGAATGAGGTACCCTGAAATAACATTTAAATAGACTGAGAGCTATCACTTTCCACCAAAAGTCATCTCTAGACAAATAAATATCCAGAGTAAAATATTTGGGTGGAATATGTTGTAATGAACAACAGAGCAATTTGTCCTGGATAACAGCATCTTCCATATGCGTCAAAGGAATAATATTCTTCATTTAATACTCTTTATTTAATCATCCTCATGTTTTCCAAACCGGTATGACCTTCTTTCTTCTATGGAACACACAAGGTGAACTCTATCATTCATGCACAGCATTTACAGCATGCAGCAAATGCTATTTTCACAGAATGAAAAAAAGCACTGCTAAGGAATTCTCTAAAGAATAATAAAAAACAAATAAATGAAAATTTTCCATCGAAAGGGAATGTGGAGTGGGGGCTGTCAAGCTATAAAATGACGTAAAACTGCCATAAAGGGGTCCAAACACATGTACTCATTGCACTGTATTCCAGGTCTTCTGATAAACAGACTAGAATTTAAGTCTATTTTAATGCTTTGTTTATTGCTTTAAGAGAACAAAAGCTGAGCTATTTGTTCTGTGAAATATAGCATCTGCTACATGCATTAAAAAGTGAGTTATTTCTATATCTCACTTCTGGTATACGTGTTTAACTCCTGCATGAACTGGGCACATCTTTAATGTGTCCTCTTATGAAGACAGTTACTTAACTTTTACTAAAACATTTTAATAAAACTGCAATTCTGGAAAAATAAACCTCTAAGGTAAATCAATTTTAAATAATTCATGCATGAAGATGCCTTTTATAGTCTTCAGACCAGAACACTTGAATGCCCTTGACTTGCATACCAAAGACAGAAGCTTCAGCTCCAGAGGCTGAACTGTATGCAGCTCACACTGGTTCAGTCCCTTAACGGGAGCACTAGGGAATTCCGCTCACTCCCGCTCGTGACGTCACTGCAAGCCTGGCTCCACTTGCACAATGGGTGTTTCTCCGAAAATCACACGAAAACACTTGTGCCAAGCAAAGCCACAGCGGTGCACACAGGTCTGATTGATATTTACTTATATAAATCCCTACAAAGAAACTAACTCGCACAACTAGGTTGTAATTCAGTGGGCAGGAACCGATTAATACTCCTTGTCTGGGACTAACCGCATCAACCGAGACAGTCGTTTTCACACCGTTCTCACCAGTAACAGAAGTCGGCGCATGTCCTGATGGGTAGGTGACAAGCGCAACGAGGTGCGCTGATTTAAATGCTTCATTGCTGCAGCTACTATAACTGTATTTCTTCTTTACACCCTGAAATCATGCGAACATGTCTGGAAAACAGCAAACCTTATGAGAAGTGACTTCATTTTTGGGCTTGCAATAACTAGAAGTAAGCTTTAAGGGAACTGTTTTTATGTCTCACATGCTAAAATAGTATTTCCATCTTTGTTTGCTACAAATTAATGTAGTTTAGAAACTAACAATATGTAGATGTCTGTCTAAATTAGAGTCAATCACAAACACAATGCTTGACTGGAGCTGAAATATACTAACTGAAAACATTATTTTATATTTGGTGTAGTAATCCGATTTGTTGGTTCAAATTAATTACGGCACCCCATCACCACCCGTATTTCACTATATATATATATATATATTATTTTTTATTTTTTTACTCAAAATAGTAGCCTAAATATGCTGGAGAAAAGTTAGCCTATGCATGTAGGCTATAGAAAGCTTGTGTTAATGTTAGGCCTACATGCTAATGTAGATTATCTAGCGTAGCGTCAGTTCTGTCATGTCACGTTAGTCAAGCTCGCATCAGCTGATTCTCAGCTGATCCCCATCAACCTATGGGAATACGACACCTATCTAAGTATTCATATATAAGGTCCCGCAGTAGTATCAGCAGTTTTCGCATTGCTCAATAGCTAATTACCCTCCTCCATCCCCAACTCCTCCTCTGTCAGTCAGGATTCAGCCTTCTGATTTTCCTTGAATCAGACTAATTCTAAAATATGTACATACTATTATTGAACTTTAACGATATCTGCAATACATTTATGTTGGTTCTGTTCTGTTTACCCGGGGGGGGTAAACCATACCGCCAATCCAAACTGTATGCTAATTGTCAATCATCTTTGACGATAGTGGTCCTGGCAGAAATACCAGTTCTGTCAATTAGACGATTACAAATTAAATATTGAGACAAATATGAAAGCATAATTCCTTTAAAATTGTTTTTGTCCTGTTAATCCTTTATAATTTTTACATTGGAACAATTTATACTGTTTGTGGACTTCAGGAAAGTGATGGTCATATGCTGGTCACAGTAGCTCATTTCTGATGGTGTTACATCTCACCCATTACTGCAACATTCCCTGTTCTCCCCTTCAAGATGATTATAAGCCTATGGTGTGCAATGTTGAGTTGATGATTTAGATAAATGAAACTATCGAAATGATAATATCACAGATGTTCCATAAACATACAACAATTAAACATAATTTAGGGGGGGGGGGGGGGGTTATATTAAAATAGTTGAATCAGTCACTCTAAATGCAAAATTCACATTCCTTACAGGAAGCATGTTCACTTTTTCCAAGGGTATACTTATTACATTCAGCCAAAATATTAACTATCCATCTATTAATCCATAAATTCTCCATGCAGTGTTTCCTACATGGGGTCATGGGAATGCTGTAGCTTATCCCAGCGTCTGCGACCACAGGAAATAAGAAATTGATATTTTCTTTAATTCAGAGTTATTCATTGGTGTGAAAATTCTCTTGATCTGTAAAATATCTACATCAAACCTAAACATATGAAGGGCCTCTTAGAGGCTTAATTGTGTACACAGTGGGCTCACAGTACAATACACAGTGCCATCATGCTTTCAAGCCCGGTTTGTTTTTCTGTTAAACTGACAGTAGGTGTTAGCATTTAATGTTAACAAAAAAATCTGTGACATTTATGGTAAAATACCGGCAGCTGTGGTTGCCAGAACTTCGGAACTTCACCGTGAAAAATATGGTAGCAACATTTTAGGTTTTACATACTTAACTTAAATTCACAATAATAAAATAAAAATTCAATAACTGATGTAATGTTAATATATTGAAGTACTAATTGAAGTATATCTGTTTTGAACCATTTTAATATGCTGATAACCACCAAAAACAGCTGGTGATGAGAAAGTCACATGATGAATCAAAACTCATCACAAACAGCTTTTCCACAAGCTGAAGAAGGAAGTACTTATATATAGAAGGTGCACAGTGTCATTCACACAAATACTAAACACTATTATGGTAACACATATGATACTGAAATAATGCAATAAACATTCATTTAACAACATTAGATGCAAGATAAAACTCTAATGTAAACAACTGAGAAGATTTACAGTATTCACCATATATAGTATGGAAACTTACTTTAAAAAAATCAACAGGTTTTTGATGTAGCATTTTTACAGTATTTTACTGTTAAAATCACGATCGTTTTTACAGTGTTTGATGTATTCTTTTAACACCTCAAAAAGCCTCACCAAAAGACAAACAATATTTAGAAATTGCTTGGCAATTATTATTTAGACTGGATTATAGAGCATAAACACAAGGATTCAGTTTACAGTTCGCAATGAATCCAAAATTTAAATATATTGACAACAGCCTCTACTGTTGTTAAAAATGTATAATGCTATACAGTTTTGGAGAATATGAATATGCTCTTTTTAATGATTAACATTTATGTATATTATTTACTCAGCTTACACTGTGAATGAAAAGCACTGAAGCTGTTAAATAAGTAAATTGACAACCTGCTCGCTTTGTTTTCTCTTTTTAGAAGTAAAGGTCAAGAATCCATGGTACAGGCCAGTGATCATATTTCTGGCTGCTGTTATCATTGTGGGGATCATGGTGGCCATTTCTGTCGTCCAGTACAAGCCTTTACACCAGAAATACAAAGTACGACTAACACTTTAAGTGAACCATTTACACTCTAAGAAATGCTGGGTTGTTTCAACCCAATGTTGGGTCAAATATGGACTAACCCAACTGTTGGGTTAAAAAGCTAATTTAAAAATGTAACCAAAATTTAACCCAACAGTTGGGTTAGTCCATATTTGACCCAACATTGGGTTGAAACAACCCAGCATTTTTTAGAGTGTACTGTGTTAGAGATTAGATTTGTACAGATTTCACTGATGCAATTGTCTCTGAACACTTGACAGTATGGAATAGTTCTGGATGCAGGCTCCTCCCACACCTCTGTTTTTATCTATGAATGGCCAGCCGAGAAGGAGAACAACACAGGCATGGTACGGCAGAAACACACCTGCAATGTAAAAGGTATGTGATCCCTAATTTGCTTAGAGTTGCATGGAGAAATACTTCTGGATATGTTTTTGGATAGCATTTTTTCAGTATGTGAAATGGTTTGTCCTCCCAAAATAGAAAATTGGCATAATTTACTCACCCCCCATGTCTTTTGAAATCTGTATGACTTTCCTTCTTCTGTGGAGATATTTAGCAGACTGTCCATAGTATGGACAGTTGTATGGACTACTATTATGATACCTTTTTGTCCTTTTGCAGCTTGACAGCTCCTGGTCCCCATCCACTTTCATTGTATAGAACAGTTCAGACATTCTGATAAAATGTAAGAAAGAAAGTCAAGAGTAAATCATGACAGAAGTGTAATCTTTGCCGTTAGCAGTTATGTCAACATATTGCATAATTTCCAACAACACATTTGCATACTGCCTGTAGGCAAAGTCTGGCTGTCTTGAGAAACTTGTTTCTGTTTTTTTTCTGCCCTGTAGGGAAAGGTATCTCCAGTTACTCCAATAATCCAAAGGGGGCTGGCGCATCTCTGCAGGAGTGCATGCAGGAAGCCAAGCAGAAAATACCTACACACAGACATCATGAAACCCCCGTGTACCTGGGAGCCACAGCAGGCATGAGACTGCTCAAGTAATCATTTCTAAATATTCTCAATTCTCAAGAATCAAATAGGGTGGCCGAGAATAATGATTAGTTGTCATGGTGACCAAGGTGGGGGATGGTGTTCAGCCGAAATCCTGGCATCCAGTATATTGAGTGAGGGGACTGTGACGATTTGTTAATCTAATGAATAATTGATTTGTTAAATCAAATAAAAATTAGTGTGTCAGATTGGTCGAGACGCTACAAATACTACAGCGAGAATAAAAGTTACGCCTTCTTTCTTTGCGTGAACATTTGGATCGTTATGCAAATCTTCCCAGATAATGACGTAGGTATGTGGGGGTGTGTTAGAACGAGCCGTTTTAGGTAGGTGTGGCTGACTCTTAACTTTTATAAAGAATATCTCTTTGGATTTGAGACTTTAGTCTTTGCAACTTTACAGATCTTCTTTATGCACCAAGAGCTTGTAACACTCCAAAGAGAAAGGAAAAATTGAAATTGCATCATATGACCCCTTTAAAGAGTCCTTACTGAATAAAAATCAAGCATCGTGTTAGTTTAGGCAGGCTACATCAGTCAAGCTCGCATCAGCTGATAGTCAGCTGTTCCTGATGTGTACCAATCCAGTTTTGACACTTATCATAGCGGTCCATTTAAATTCCATCAAAGACGCGATCTGAGGGAATCGCCGACACGTCGCCTGCAAAATATTTGGCATGCTAAATATCTGGAGCTGTCTGCGATTCACAATCACACTGTGTGCAATGATTTCTGACTGAAAACTACATCGGCGATGACCTACAGCCAATGAGAGACCAAGATACAGGGCAGAGGGAAGTTCGGGGAGGAGTTATAGACCAGAATGTCAGTATTTTAATAGCTATATGAACAATTATATCATACAGAAACAGAAATAACATCAGCATAACATTTACTGCAAAATTATTTACCTCCAACTCTCTTTGCAGAACACCCAATCCCTGTTCCCTGCATCTCCCTCCTGCATAATCTGTTTTTCTTTTTCTCCTTGTAGCTGGAAATCAGCTCACAGACAATTTGCGGGCTATTTATATATTTTTTTAATAATTACAGTCTTGCTTGCGAGAACTCCGGTCTGACGCACGCGGGTTCTGGCGTTATTTCCTTATCACTTCTCACGTGTGTTTTGTTGTGAATCGTAGTTTGCGGACCAGACAGAGCTGTCGGCGATTCTCCCTATTGTGAAGTCATGCGGTGTGAAACCCCCTGTTGTCGATCCATCGTGCAATGTGAACACAGCAGC